GAGAGAGAGAGAGAGAGAGAGAGAGAGAGAGAGAGAGAGAGAGAGAGAGAGAGAGAGTGTCACTTCCCTACCTGGGCTGTGCTGAGGCACCAGGACCTGCTGCTACCACCCCGCAGGGAAAGTGACCTGGCTGCAGGGACCCCTGACAGGTCCTTGTTCCCCCTCCAGTCCCCTATGGCTGTGGGGGGCAAAGGGGGCACAGGAGGGGGCAGGTGTTGGGGTGCAGGAGGAGGGCAGAGGTTGGGGTGAGGGCACATGCACAGTGCAGGGTTAGGGGCTCAGGAGGGAGGTGCGGGGGGTAGGAGTGAAGGGGGTGCAGGGATTGGGGCACAGGAGGGGGCAGAGGTTGGGCATGAAGGAGGTGCAGGGATTGGGGTGCAGGAGCAGAAGCAGGTGGGGCAAAGGGGGCACAGTGCATGGGTTAGGGGAGGAAGGGGGGAGCCTTGGGAGCTCATGGAGGCAGGGGCAATGGGGGAATGCCATGCCCACACTGGCCAGGGACACCAAAATGCAAGTTCGCCCAGGGTGCCATTTTCCCTGAGGCAATGGGGGCCTGGAGCTGGCGCGGCCGTGGAGGAGGGGGCATCGGGGGCAGGGAACTGGTGTGGCTGCGGGGGGGATGGGTGCAGGGAGACGGGGGCGTCAGGGGCAGGGAGCCGGCGCGGCCGTGGAGGAGGGGGCATCGGGGGCAGGGAACTGGCGTGGCTGCGGGGGGGATGGGTGCAGGGAGACGGGGGCGTCAGGGGCAGGGAGCTGGTGTGGCTGCAGGGGAGGGAGCATTGGGGGCAGGGAACTGGCGTGGCCGTGGAGGAGGGGGCATTGGGGGCAGGGAACTGGCGTGGCCGTGGAGGAGGGGGCATTGGGGGGCAGGGAACTGGCGTGGCCGTGGAGGAGGGGGCATTGGGGGCAGGGAGCCGGCGCGGCCGTGGAGGAGGGGGCATCGGGGGCAGGGAACTGGCGTGGCTGCGGGGCGGCAGGGAGCTGGCGTGGCCGTGGAGGAGGGGGCATCGGGGGCAGGGAACTGGCGTGGCTGCGGGGGGGATGGGTGCAGGGAGACGGAGACGGGGGCATCGGGGGCAGGGAACTGGCATGGCTGTGGGGTGGCAGGGAGCTGGCGTGGCCGTGGAGGAGGGGGCAGTGGGGGCAGGGAACTGGCGTGGCTGCGGGGCGGCAGGGAGCCGGTGTGGCCGTGGAGGAGGGGGCATCGGGGGCAGGGAACCGGCTTGGCCACAGGGGTGGGGAGGAGTGTCACTCACGGCTGTGCTCGTATATGGCATCCATGTGATGGCAGCGGCAGGGCGCGTATTCGGCGAAGCGGCTCAGGCCATCGGTGGCCACGAAGCAGGTGCCCACGGGTGTCTGGGTAGCCTGGGCCTCGCCCTCGAAGGCATTCCAGTGCTGCAGGGGGGCGCAGGCCTGGCAGGACGACCGGACACTCAGCGCCACCCACTGCAGCCGGGATCCAAGCTCTCCTGCCCCTCGCCTGGCCAGGCCCAGCTCCCCGCTGCAGTGCCTGGAACCTCCCGTCACTGGGCTGGGCTCCCCCTGCCGCCCCCCCGCGCTCCCGGTGTCCATCCAACCCACAACAATCCACCAGAGCCAACATCTCCATCTCGTCTCCCCAAGGGCAGGACAGATCCGGCACTGAAATGCAGCTGCTTCTGGGGCAGAGCATGGCAGCGGGTTAACAAGACACAGCGACTGAGAGCCCCAGGAGAAGAACTGGACCCCTCTGCTCCGGGGATCCATGGGCAGCCCCAGCCGAGCACCTCATCTCAGCGCCTCCCCTCCTGTCCGGTCCGGGACAGGGTCACTCCCTGCCCTCTGGGACACCCCCAAGGGTCTCCCGCCCAGCGCGACCCTGCATAGCTCCCCGAGGTGGCCAATCGCCAGGCAGTTGCCAGGATGCGTGGGCCAGTCAGGGGCACGGGCTGCGCCTGGGGCACTCACCACAACGTTGCCGTCCCAGCTGCTCACGGACGCCCCGAACCACTGGTGAGACTTGTAGGTCTTCAGCTGGAGGAATCCCATGCTCTGGGCCTGGTCCCCTGGGGGCACGGGCAGGTCAGCACAGTCAGGAGTGCAACCGTGGGAAAACACCCGGGATCCCCCCACGGGATCCCCAACCCGCCCCACCTGCCCCCACCTCACCCCGGGGTCCCCTCCCCCTTAATCCACAACCCACTGAACCCCCCCAACCCCCACCTCACCCCGATCCAAAACCCACCTCAACCACCCTGCACCCACCCCGCCCCCACCTCACCCCAGAGTCCCTGCCCCCCAATCCAAAACCCACTTCACCCCCCATGCTCCCACCTCACCCCAGGGTCCCTGCCCCCCAATCCAAAACCCACTTCACCCCCCATGCTCCCACCTCACCCCAGGGTCCCTACCCCTCTGATCCACAACCTACCCCTCCAATCCACAACCCACCCCACCCGTCCCAATCTCACCCTGGGGTCCCTAGCTCCCTGATCCAAAACCCACCCCCACCTCACCCCGAGGTTCCTACCTCCCGATCCAAAACCCACCTCACCCAGCCCGCACCCACATCATCCTGGGGTCTGTACCCGCCCCCCCGAGCCCCACCTTCCCCCCAGCCCCCCTCTGTCCCACAGTAGCTAACGGAACCTGTTTACCCCAAGCTGCCCCCTCTGGCTCACTCACCTTTGGTATCAAACTCTATGATGCTGCAGGGGGTCCCGCCAGGCGCCCAGGGGCACAAGTACACGGCTCCGGCCTCCACCACGCCAGGCTGCGAGGTGTTGGCCCGGGGTGCGCCCACCACCACACTCATGCTATGGGCACAGGGGGAGGCTGTCAGGGCAGGGCCCCGGCATGGTTGGGAGCACACTGTCTCTGGGGTGCCAGCTGGCCCAGCTCCTCATCCTGCAGCCCGCCCCCCACCTAGATCCCGGCACCTTTGGTCTCAGAGCCCCACGGAGTCCTGTCGCCCCCCACTGCAATGCAGCCCCCTCTGGGATGGGACTTGGTTGCTGTTTGACAGAGCAATGCAGCGCCACCTGGTGGTTGGGACGGGAAGGGGGCAGCTTCAGACAATCGGGGGATGAAGGGCATTGGCAATGGGGCCCAGGCCCAGCTCCTCAGAGGGACTGAGCCAGACAGAAGTCAGGGGCCTAAGCCACTGGGTCTGTGTCTGCAGCCGCATCTGGGCAATGCCCACAGCTGCCTGGCACAGACGCTGCAGGGGCCCTGCCCGTCTGCCCCCCTCTCGCCCCCCCCCCGCGCCCGGGCAGAGAGTCAGCCCAACGCTTCACTCCACTGCAGCCCCAGTGCTGTCCTCTCCTGCCGTCCCCCACTGCACCCCCGAGAAAGGGGGCTGGGCCATCACCTCCCCCACCGGGGGCACTAGCTTAGCAGCCCCCATGGTGGATGGAGCCAGGAGCACTGGCTTTACCCCAAGCCCGGCCTCCTGGTGCTGGCTGAGAGCCCCAGAGGGCTGGTGGGGCCAAGCCATTCGTAGTGTCACCTGTTGGATTATCCCACCTGCCCCGTCACCCCCTCACAGCGTGGGCGGAGCCCCAGAGCCGAGCCAGCTTCTGTCACCTCCCAGGAGTCTCCTTGGATGACGTGACCCCCCGATCTCCCCATCGGCGCCCCAGGGCTGGGAACAGCCCCAGGGACACCTGACACCTCCCTGCTGGGCCACTGCACTGCTCTGAGCCCAGCCCTGCGCCTGCCGAGACCTTGTCAGCAGTGTCGTGGCAGGGGGCTTAGTGTTAGACACGTGTACGCACACACACACCCCATGTGTGCACACATCACATGCACACGTATGCACATGTGCGCGCAAACACACACAGAGGCAGCAGCGCTGCTGGGCCACACTGGAGTAGGTCTTTGTGTAGGAGAATTTCACAGCCCTGAAAGGCAGGCGAAACCCATGGGGGGGAAGGGAGGCAGTCTGGGGGGGCTGGTCTGTGCACTTGCAGTTTGCCAGCTTGCTGGGGAAGGCTGGAGCATGGGGGAGGGGGAGTGTGGACATGATCCTGGGGGGCAGAGCATTGGGACCAGTCCAGCGTGCCGGGGAGGGGAGCGAGAGATCGAACTCATTTTCCCCTTAGACCTGCTTCCCAGGGATCTTACCGGCCAACTCCCTGAGTTTGCTAAAGTGCCCTCTGAAATCCATTGTCTTGATTGTGCTGTTTGCCTCCTGCCCGGCTCTGAAGGGAACTAGGCACCTCGGCACCCCAGCTGCCTTCCGCCTTCAAACTCACCCGCATCCCACTCGAACCCACGACAGCCTCTGCCCTGGTCACTTCCTCCCCGTTCTGAACTAAAAACTTGTCTCCAATACAATCCACCCCACCCCCATGCTCACTCCCCACCCCAACCCTGACCCCACCCCCATGCTCACTCCCCACCCCAACCCTGACCCCCACCCCCACCTTCCACCCCGACCC